GCTTTTCATCAAGAAAGCAAAAGATGGATCCATTAAGAACATGATGAGCCTTTTCAAAAAAAAGAAAAAAAAAAGAAAGGCGCATGAGCCTTGAGGTGGGTTTTTCTACCTGCGCAAGGTGCGACCCACAACGCCGCCAGGTGTCCCACATCGCCGGCTGCCAGCTGGACGAAGTCGACGGCCCCCCTACCAAACAGCTCCCGTGCTCTCTGCGGCTTCTTCAGTTTCCTCACGGCAACATCCGAGAGCCTCTCAACCCCCCCCCTTCCTTCTTCTGCCTCTGCCGTTTCACGTCCACGGCGGTTCACCTTGTCCCTTCTCTCGTCATCCATTTCCATGTCCCCCCCCCCATCAGTATCTACCCACGATAAGGCCGGAATTCGTTGAATGATGGATTTTCCATGGTTCTCGCCAATGATTGACAGAATGAGACCTGCCTCTGGATCGGATAATCCCGACCCCGGCTCGCGGCTGGTCTCGAGACGTATAAAGTACAGCACGGTTCCGTCCATTACCGTCGGGTCCGAGTCGCCCGACCGCAAACGCGATCCCGACGTGCCCACCCCTTCCCGAGGGGGTGCTAAAGCTGCCGGCAACTGACCCAAAGAAGACGAAGACGAAGAAAAAGAAGAAACAGAAGACGAAGAAGAAGAAGAAGAAGAAGAAGAAGAAGAAGAAGAAGAAGAAGTCTCGACATGCTTTTCTTCGACCACCATGCTTCCCTCCTCAACCTCCTGTAAAGCAAATGCAGAAGAAGACGGCGACGACGACGACGACGACGAAGAAGAAGAAGAAGAAGAAGAAGAAGAAGAAGAGGGAGCGGAAGAAGCAGAAGGAATGAAGTCCACGGGAGAGTCCGAATAAGACGTTTTCCGGGATTCGACAGAGGTAGAAGCGATGGCGTTGACGTCAACATCTCGATTCAAATCGGCAAGCAGAACTTCGTCCTCGACAGCGCGATTCAAATCGGGACGAAAAACTTCTCTGACATTAACGTCAGTGGTCTTTTCCTTGATCAGAATACCAGCGAGATCTGACGCCTCGTCTAGCAGGGACTCAGAATCTAGAGATATAGAAGAATTTGCGTCGTGCAGATGTCCAAAGATCAGACGGCTGGTTAACATCACTCTCGGCCGAACAAAGCGGCCGCCATCGCTGCTCTTCTTCAGTGCTGAGACTTCACCCACGTCAGCATCGTCTTCCTCGACAGGAAACCCCGTCGAAGAAGGAGAAGAAGAAGAAGAAGTGACAGAGAAAGCGTTCGGTCTCCGAGGGTCAGGGATATCAACAGGGAAGGGGGAGTACGACACCTTCGTCCTCATCTTCTTACCCCTTCCTGTGAAGGATCCGCTTCGACGAATCTCCATCGCCGCCAACCAGTAGGTAGACAACGATCGAGACAATCCTCGGGGCCGAACGCCGAGGCCAACGACAACACCTTCCCGTCTAGCAGTCCATCTGGCAGTGCTCCGACATCCTCTATCGCACAGACCTTTCTCGCGCCTTGTATCACTTCCATCGTCCTCTCCTTCATCGGCGTAATCGGACACATAGTCGCAGCAATGGCCATGCTCAAGCTCAAGACAAAGCCGGCGATGACGACAGCGATGGCGATAGTGATGGTGAGAGCGATGGCGATGGTGATGGCCGAGGCGATCGAAGGGATCTGATGCCGCCGAGACCAATCCACCACTGCGCGCCATACGTCCTGACAGCTGCCTTCGACCTGGCATGGCTACAGATTCGCTCCTGGATGATGACGCACAACGAGCGTCGTTGACGTCCCAACTGCGATGCTTGCTGACGTGGCATGCACGTGTCACATGGACAAGTGGAAGGAGCGTCATTATGATAGGGTGTTGCCTCGTTCGACGAGTCGCATGCCTGCTGAGCGCCGAGCGCTGGCCGTCGGGATCGCCGCTGCAATCAAAGGCTACAAGATAGGGGCCCTTTGGCTCCCACCCATTGCAGTTCTGGTAAAGAAGAGTATAGGGCGCCTTTGGATCCCACCCATCGCTGCTGTGGCGAAGAAAAGTATTTTCTCTCGAACTGGCAGGCAGACGAGTCCGCACCTGCAGCGCGCCACGTGTCACGTGCCCGATTATTACCGAAGGTGTCTCACGTCTTTTGCACGGACTCTGCTGCGAATGGACTCGATTGCATGCAGCATGATCGAGGACATCTCGCGAGGAGTCCCGTACCCGTAGCCTCTTTGGATTCGCTTGCGAGCTCAAGGTTTTTGAAAAACAACTCGAGGACGAAGTCATCCTTACTGCTTCCAGCCCCCATGCTCCCTCCATCGCCATCGACAACAAACTGAGCCGAAGGTTAATCACGTCATTGATCTGTCTGATGGGCAGGAACCCTTTCACACGAAAACCACCCTCTCTCTCTCTCTCTCTCTCTCTCTCTCTCGATTTGTCGAGTGCTTTCCAGCCACTACTGATACGTACAGAAACTGACGAAAACGAAACCGGTCGAAGAAACAACAAGGAAAACTACACATGAGGCGTAAAGCTCCGTAAAGCCATGTCAGGATGTAGCACTCGATTTGTCCGTGTCATTATTACTGGAGCACCGACGTCAGCGCTATTCGCAAACTTAGAAAAAGCTCAGAGGTTAGCAAGTAGATAGGTAGCCATGCGGCTGTGGATCAATGGAAAGTCCCCTGACGAGTGCCGGAGCGCAGACAGTCGAAACGCGCGGCGGGGAACATGGGCGTTTATTCTGATTTTGGACGACCGAGGATATGGAAGGAAGGATAGCTTCGGTCATTGTTTGACTTCTAGGGGCTCGCTCCACTACTCTCGCCATGCACAAGCGACAAAAATCATAGCGGTGTATCTTTCCATGTTCTAACGGAAGAGTCACTCCCGTTTTGCACATTTCGAGACCGGTGGAGCGAGGCCACTGACTCCATTCTAAGCGTGATGCACACATGAGTGCATATCGGTATTATAGGCTGTTTCATGCCACCACCTTCGCATCACACGCCCTCGTGTACCGATAACAGCGGGATGGACGTGAGCCTCGGACGGACAAACGGCGGGGATAGTGTTGGGACTCATGGGCCCAGCACGAGGGACAGAGTACTCGCGGGGCTTGAGCTCCGGACGTGAGCCTCATCGTAAAGTGTTTCCAACCTGTACAGCACAGAGCCAAGACGTTGCAGCCGCATTCTCCTCCCGTGACGACCAATTCCCGACCTGCACGCGGAGGTCCGACGCGAACTGCCCAACATATAGAAGCGTGCGACCGATCTTCACAATAGGGAGATATCGTTTGACTATCTTTCGAATCGAAACGATACAGAGAAGATATCATGGCCCCTGCGCAAGGATGAGACGCTACTCGATAGACGACGTTTCTGTAGCCTTGCTATTGGATACATGACGATTTCATAGTCTCGCTATTGGGTCCACAGCTCATGCTGCCCCCTATAGGCGGGAGGGAAGATAGAGGACTGAAATTGTCAGGACCTGACAAAACTGACGTATGGGAGGCTAATGTCCATAAGCGACTCACCCTGTGGTGCCGCTTTTTTTTTTTTTTTTTTTTTGAGCGACTCGCTTTGGATGCTGCCTGGAGGCCTTCGGCCCCTGTACCCCTCCTTTCAGGCAGTACCAGGCCTGTCACCTTTGGCCAAGGGTGTTGTTCCACGCCCGCTGTATAGTACAGGCTGTTAACAAGCCATTCGTGAAAAGTAGACATTTCGTGAAAACTGGACTGAGTCATAAACTACAAGATTAATTTATTTATTTTTTTTGTTTTAAATTTGGACCATTTCACGATTTATGCGTGTCATCCTTGCGCAGGGGCCATGCTAATCTTCTCTGTATCGTTCCAATTTTAACGGATGTCCCGAAGGACACAATATTAATTTTCAAAAAACTATATTTTTTTCATTTCTGGAACCCATGTTCCATTTGCAATCACCACGTTTTTTGAGAAACTAGTATTTTGGAAATCATAACGAAATGGAGTCAACAAGATAAACAGAAAAACTAATTTAGGGAGTACCTTAAGGCTAACGGTTTGTTTGATAGACGAAAAAATATTTTTCGGGGAGCTGATGTACAAGTACACAAACAAAATCAAAGTTATGGCATTTTACAAGTATCGCCTTCAATCCCCCACCTTGCCCCGCCTTCCCTCCCGCACCTTCCCCCACCTTCCCCCCCCCTTCCTTCACCTTTCTCGGCCTTTTGGCTAAACCCAAGTGTAGTATCTGTTCTGATCAGTTTAATATCTGATCCGTGGCCCATCGAGCCACTGAAAAAAAAAAAAGAAAAGTGGCCAGTGGCCACCTTCCTTTCCCCGCCTTCCCACACCTTGCTCTGCCTCCCGCACCTTGCCCCACCTTCCTCCACCTTGCCCCGCCTTTCCCCACCTTCCGCTGCCTTCAATGCCCCACCTTGCCCCGTCTTCAACCCCCCACCTTGCTCTGCCTTCCCTCCTGCACCTTCCCCCGCCTTCAATCCCCTGCCTTCACCTTTCTCCGCCTTTTGGCTAAGATCAAGTGTAGTATCTGTTCTGATCAATATAATATCTGATCCGTGGCCCATCGGGCCGCTAAAATAAAAAAATAAAAATAAATAAAATCCCGCCACCTTCCTTTCGCCGCCTTCCCGCACCTTGCCCCGCGTTCCCTCCCGCACCTTGCCCCGCGTTCCCTTCCGCACCTTGCCCCGCCTTCCTCCGCCTTGCACCGCCTTCCTTCCCCTGCATTCCCCCACCTTCCGCTGCCTTCAATCCCCCACCTTCCCCTGCCTTCAATCCCCCACCTTTCCCCGCCTTCACCTTTCTCGGCCTTTTGGCTAAGATCAAGTGTAGTAGCTGTTCTGATCAGTTTAATATCTGATCCGTTCACCCATCGGGGCACTAAAAAATAATAATAATAATAATAATAATAAATCTGCCACCTTCCTTTCCCTGGCTTCCCGCACCTTGCCCCGCCTTCCCTCCCGCGTATTCCCTCGCCTCGCCCCGACTGCCATCTCCTACTATCCCGCGGCCTGCCTTCCTGCACCCCGACTTGCTGCACCTATGTTTTCCCCACGTAATCGGTCAGTTTCAAGAACGACCGATTACGTAATCGGTTTTTGTTTTTTCAGGGTGTTGTAGAGTCCAAAGGACCAGACCCGCGGTGATCGCTAGTAGCGGCAGCCAATGGTTGTCCTGACAGGATAGGCCACCTACCCTACCCATCCCCACGTTAATACTCCCATCGCACCCCCTGTCCCTACTATCCTACCTCAGTGTGACCAGCACTCAGGACCATCATCCTACCAGTATCGAGGGCAACTTGGACCAGAGCAGTGACAAGCACCAAGGCTGAGCCAACCTCCCAGGCCTGATAGAAGCGGAAGCGGAAGAACCTTGCCGTACGGGAACTTCGGACGCCACGTAATCGGTCGTTTTTGAAACTGACCGATTACGTAATCGGTCAGTTTCAAGAACGACAGATTACGTAAAAAAAAAAAAAAAAAAAAAAAAACTAAAATATATATATATTTATTTATTTATTTATTTTTTAAGTCGAGAGTGTTGTAGAGGCCAAGGACCAGACCCTCGATGATTGCTAGTAACGGCAGCCAATGGTTGTCCTGACAGGATAGGCCACCTACCCTACCCATCCCCACATTAATACTCCTAGCGCACCCTGTCCCTACTATCCTACCTCAGTGTGACCAGCACTCAGGACCATCACCCTACCAGTATCGAGGGCAACTTGGACCAGATAGCAGTGACAAGCACTAAGGCTGGGCCAACCTCCCAGCCCTGATGGAAGCGGAAGCGGACGGACCTTGCCGTACGGGAACTTCGGATGCCAAGCTCATGCAATCTTCTACAGGCCCAATTCAGAGAGTCTACCCAGCAGGATTACCTAAGCAAGGCAGGCCAGCGCCCGCGGACACATCCTACCATCCTTCCCCTAGCTTACCCAAGGCTAGGCGGAGCTCGGACTATTCAAGGCGACTTATATCCCTACCCCTACCCTAGAGCTAAGCCATGCGTGAGTACACCCCATCATATACCTGATAGACCCCCCAAGCCCAGTATCGTAATTTGTGTGTATGTGTGTATGCCCAGAGGCTATGTATGTTTGTATGAGCCCATAGGGCCATGTGTTTTGTATATGTCCGAAGGCTATGTGTGCTTTGTGTACCTGTAAAGATGTATGTGCCCGAAGGTCAGATATGTGCAGTCTATGTGTGCTATGTGTAACTGTATGGCGAGATGTATGTGTCTGATGGCCAGATATGTGTAGTGCTATGTAGAGGGAACTATGTATTCGTTTTGAAGAGATGACAGGCCAAGCTGGACAAGAACCGCCCCCCAAAGTCCCCAGCCAGACTCGAACCCGTGATCTATGACATGTGACCTGAAGACTCTACCATTTGAGCAACAATCGCAAACGGCCCTGTGTGTGATATGCCAGACTGGGGAGATCAACAGAACAACCACGAGCAACAGCCACAAGCAACCCACGCAGTATCAAGACCCAACATACAACACCATG